TTACGGGTAATTCGGTAAGTCACCACCAAATGTTACGGGTAATTCGTATACTTTCTTTAAGCTCCTCGCCAGAGGCGTGATATTGGTGATTTGTGGAAGGGGAATTCAATAATTATGATCAACCTTATGTGCCCCTACCGCTAGGGTTGTCAAATTACTGTAATTTTATGTAATTTTGCGTAAGTTTTCGGTAAGCTAATATTCATGTAATTTGTAATTTTGAAATTATGTACTGTAATTTCTTAACATATTAAATATCACATAGAATATAAATAGTATTCTAAAAATCGATAATCATTTTGAAGAATAAAATTCATTACGTATCATATGAGCAAATTTAACGCATTTAACATAATCTGATATTTGCGAATTGCACATCAATTTTTTGAATCAGGTCAGGCCACTTTCTATAAATAAAATATATATAGGTGATTGCCTATTTTGAAAATCGCGGCTTGATCGCGACTTGATCTAAAAAAGAAAAACCTGTTTTTTTTTCTAAATTATCACATTTTGCTTAATCACGAATTAGAAACTGATAATACTTTTTTTTCATAAGAAACAAATAATAATAGAATTTATCTATAATGAAAAGGATATTGATTATGAAGGAACCTATTGTTTTTGTGTTTTGAGTCTTTAACGAGCCTTTATGAATATAAGTTTTTGAACAAAAACCACAAGAATATAAGCTAGAAGTCGTCATAATGAATGATCTAAAAATAGGTATGATTATTGTTTATTATTATATTACAGACACATGCTCATATCGATATGTCAGTATGCATGATAAACACATTTGCGTATTTAATAATTTTGGCTAAAGTTTTCATAGTGCTGGCATATGATATCACGTGTAAAATTTACATGAAATTCAAGTTACTGAAAACTTACATATGTAAAATTGTAATTTCTGTAACACAACCCCTCTAATGTTGTAAATAATTTTTAATACTTATATGTAACGGGGGCTTTGCTATCGTAGAGGCTTTGACAATTGATCGTCGATTTTCAGAAATTCTTGGATCGATTGTTCCATCAACGATCCCTTAAGCCTTCTAAGCCTATGACGATCTAATCCGGTTTCTGGAGGCGCAGTTTCATCAACTTCTTCACGTTTTTGGAAATGTCACTTTTACCCCGTGAAATTATACACACGAGTTCATATTTAAATCCCATGCCTTCGGCACGGAATAACTAGGTTATTCACTACATATCCATACAATAACTATAAATGAATCCCTTATCTACGTAAACAAAACTTACATTATTACCAATTCGAAAATAAAATCTTAAATGAATGTATAAAGAAGGCTTTATGTAACAAAAATTCGCACAAAAATTATACGTAAAAAAATTCATTGGACAATTAGACAATGAATCCTTAACATTAAAAAAAAAAATAAAAACATTTCATATTTAGGATATAAAATACTTAGTACGTATGTACGTACGTACATATTGTACATACATACTTAAATGTGTGTTATAACAATATTTATGATCAATCTTACTACTTAAATGCTAAGTTCGGAATATGTATACGCATAAAGTTAATTCTATTTGTCATACATACGCTTGAATATTATACCTTTTTAATATAATTCTTGGTTGTAGATTCAATCCGCCCCTTTTTTGTTATTTATCGTTATTATACATATCCAGATAATATATATGTATAAATGTGCATCTTAAGAAACACTTTCTTGACGTGAAATCTATCTATGGTTAGATCCTAATTTTCCAAGAAAAATGTAGTACAATAAAATAATACAAACTCAATGACATTACTGAATGTAGGTATCTCTTGGGTTACAAGTGTACCAATACGTGCAGATAACGCTAATTATTTATAGTCGCGCCCAATTTTATAAATTTATAACTTTAAAACTTGCATATATATTTAAATACAATATATCAAATTTGCTAAAATAGATTCATTATCGAAACTTGTAATTTATTTATAATTTTTTTTTTTTATTTTGTTTTTTTCAAAATTAATATTACCGAATTAGCTAAACGAAGAATAATAAAACTTATAAACAGATTAATAATAATTAATAATTTAGATTTCCTCGAATTAATTTTTATTTCAAAATCATCATCTTTAATTATAAAAAAGAAAAAGAAAAAAAAAAAAAATGTCACGAAAACTTTACCTTATTCTTCTAATCTTTTTGTTATCAACGATATTCTTGTCTCCAACAATTTCTCAAGACACTACAGAATCAACAGATACAACAGATACAACAACTACTACAACAACCACTTCAACAAGAAGTTCATCAAGCAGTACAACAACCACTACTACAACCACTACAACAACAACCACTACGACAACTACTACAACTACCACTACAAGGAGTAGAAGGTCGACTGATAGTAGTTCAACTACCGCTCTTATTATTCCTCCTATTATTACTCCAGCGCCAACGCCAACGCCAACAAAACCTACTAGTCATATTAGCAGTGAATTACCAATTACAAGCCTGCAACCTACACCGTCTTACAAAGCATTCTTACCAAATAGTGGAGGCAATGTTAAAAGTAGTTGGTTTAAAGATATGGAGATATGGGTTAGTGTAGGATCTTTGGTTGTTTTGTGGTTGCTATAAGGTTAAAAAAATTAAAGGACTTGGAAAGGGTTTGATTGATTTATGGTTGTTATAATTATACAAAGTTAAAAGGATTAGATTGGATGATTTAAATTGGTATAGGATATTTTGAAATTTAATTTTTAATAATGAGAAAAAAAAAAAAAAGGTAAATATTTATAAATTAAAATGTAAGTTATGTAAAGTTATACAGTATATAGTTAACTAAAAAAAAACAAGTAATCATCTCAACAAAATGATCTCTTTAGTTATAACGATTGTTAATAATAGTAAAAAAAAAAATTTACTGTAGATATAGGGTGTTTCATCATAACAAGAGATTTATTATAAAATAAATTTCGTAATATTGAGTCTTAATAAAAATAAATATTCGGCATATATTTTGGATTTCGGCATAGGTTTGGGATTTTTGGCATATGATTGAGATTTCGGCATATGTTTGGGATTTCAGCATATATTTGGGATTTTGTCAAATGTCCCAAACCGAATCAAAAACTGCCGAAATACCGAAACTAGTTTGGGTATCATCACTAACCCGAGAATCTTAACAATAAGGTATAGCACTTCTTTTTACAGCTTAGTATAGCTGTTTTATTTTTATTTTTTTTATCTTTTACGTGTAATAGAGAAGTTCTTTATTGATTATGACACGTTTCATTTGTTACTTTTCAACGTAAAAGTAAATTTCGTGTAACAATTTATTTAAAAGGGGGCCCAAAAAAAAAACAAATCAACCGATATGTTATTAAATTTATTACTACTAAGATCGAAACTTGTTTTCTTAAGAACAAAGTCAATTATTATTAATATTTAGGAATTTTTTAAAGTTCATTAAACAATTAAATACTTTTTATTTTTAAAGAATTTGCTAGATATACTATCATAAAATAGGATCTCAAAAAAAAAAAAGGTGACTTGTGATTTATTACACTGTGACAAACAGTAACGATTTTAAATGAAACTTTATAATTAACCACACAAAATAACTAAAATGATTATGTTCTTGACACTTTCGCTATGTTGTGAAATCTGTACTAGATACATATAAAAACATTATGCAAAATTTTTATTATGCATTCCTTACATTGAAATTTTGATTGGCCATTATATTCCAACTACATAGCCAAAGGTTACATATTAATGCTGCCAAGAACAAACAAACTTGTGCTTTCAATTTATTATTAACTCCTGAAAATTCTGATCATTTACTTATTGGCACGGGATTGTTACGTCAGACACTGTGTAATAAGATAGTTATTGTATGAATATCGAATAACCCAGTTACTATTACGGGTAATTCGGTAAGTCACCACCAAATGTTACGGGTAATTCGTATACTTTCTTTAAGCTCCTCGCCAGAGGCG